AAAGATCATTCAGAAATACGGCTAATTTGACCGGTAGGTCAACGAAAAAAGGAGACAATTTGTCTTTACATAGCAACGGAAAAATAGGTATGTAGGTAATAGGGATGACCAGTGATTGTCAAGGCTACCACCCGAAACTTATTTTTTTACAATAGCTACAGTGAGAACCAAACTAGAACTCGAGAGTGATGGGTGAGAAGACATTATATTTGAATTCTTGAAGTATGTGTGACCTAAGCTAACTAGATATCGTAAGCCATATGCAGCGAACGAGAGACAAAACTAGGTCGGCAAAGGTGGTTAACTGAAAACCTCCAGTTGGGAGTGTGTTCATTAAAATTAGTAGAGCCAGGCACAATGTCGAAGACTTGCGAAACTATTTCTTTTGAAGTATTACCAATACAGGTGTGATATATTATTCAGCCGAATAATACGTTGCAAATCAATGGTGATTCGTAAAATCTATTAACGTTCACATCAAATACTTCTGTGGTGACTCACATTTATCACGAGAACACGACTGGTTTAATAAAAACAATTATTATTATAACCAACTGTACCAGTGTTTGTTTTAATGTGTTTTTGTTTGACTGTGCTAATGACAGCTATATTTTGCTTCCATTCTTTTACACACACTTTGATTGTAACTTCGCGCGAATTCGGTTACGTTCTACAACCAAGCTTGTATCATGGCACGATTTCGGTATCCTTTCGATACCACGAGATCGCCAGCGAATATATCTCGACTTGGCCCATTAATTGCCTTCTGATATTTGGCTTCTCGGGGATTTTATGGATTTCATTGGTTACGTTCAACCCTCGCCTTCTGATTCACTTGGCACGCGATCCTTGGTAGCGGCGTTCATAGTTAACCTCAACTCGACACCACGCTACACTTCAATAATCTTTCCAAAATAAGCTACGTTAAAATGTTAGCAACTAATCTGGTCAGGCTAACAGGACTATAATTACCAGGATTAGATCGAAAAATGTTTTCAAAACGAGACATGCTATAAACATCCTTACATTTACTTGATAACCTACCTTGCGTTACTGAAAAATCAAAACGTATATTCAAGGGTTCCGTGAGAAGTCTTAGCTTCCTCGGTAGCTTGAAATATATTTCATTTTCTCCTGTCACTTCTTTTTCTAGCATCTTTATTTATTAGTTCAAGGATTTAAAGTTCTTGAATGGCCATTGCATTCAGGTATGTATTAGTGCCTCGATTACTTCAGTAAGACATGTATTTCTACAGAATCTATTAGCTAAAACAGTCTGGGTAATGCAATAACGGCTCATTAACCACATGCTTCTTGAGTTATTAAAGTCTTCAAAAGTTAGGGTAAATCATGTGAGCATGTAATAACAAAGAAGCTGATGCACCACATTGTCCTGCTGATCTAGCTAGCACAGGCATACTTCTAGAAATGTGCTAAAAAATTAAGAGTGAGACTGAGTAGCCCACTTTAGGTTCAACTAACCATGACGTTAAATAAGTCTAGTATCTCGTTGATTCTTTAAAATATAATAGAACACACGTTGAGACAGTATCAACTAAATTTTACTCGAATGAGCTCTCCGGTACTTCTGCTATTATGTGTTTTGATTTCCCAGATCATGAAGAAAACTATCTAACAACAAATACTTTCCGCTAGAAGACCTAAGATAACACTCACCTGTCAATAATTTGTCAACCGTAATGGATAGGTTCCAACCAGTTCTTTTACATAAATAACCTTGTGGATCACCAACGTAGATGATCTATGTCGAAATGATTGGAGGCCTACTCCAGTTAGACGTGAATGGTGTGACGAACCAACTAACGTCGAAGTCACACCTCGTGGTCAGCACCTTACGTGGACTACCCCCATCGACGTAACAAGGTACTATAAATGCTTTGAAGACTGTACAACACAAAGGACGTTATTACAGAAATATATTAATTAAAGTAGATACAAAAGAAAGTAAGACCACTGCCGCATGGGCCAGTCCATGGCGTATGATTAACTAATGCGCGTTTGTAGTACATGACCTTGGCAGGGGGCGATGATCTGTTCGACATTCAGTGATCCAACTGCCGGATGATTTGGCTAGGGCTCAGTGACATTTCACTGGCCCTACAATACTCCCCCACCAGATTCAGCGGCCGTTTGAATCGGTACCAAACATGTTGGGAGCAGTCGCGCGCCGGAGAGTGCCAGAGGAATATTATAAATCCTCCAGGTATTGCTTATCTGTAAAACAAATGGAAAGGAGGCGGCAGAAACTGGTCGCGAAACAGCGAGTCATAATATGTTAGTAGGACGTTGCTTAAACGTAAATTGATTAACCATAGAAATAATGAAAAGAACAAAACGTTTTATTGTTCTATCAAGTCGCGCTGAAATATATAGCCTTGACAAGTAATTCAGTTCCTCCGATGACAAACGTTAAGTCTGCCGCAAGAGTAATGATGCTATAGCGATAGTAGGATAAGTGTATTATCAATCGATATCCATATTTGTACTGTCATTAGTTTGAAGTTGTAAGTCGAACAGTGTCGTTGACAGCTATTAATTAGTGTCAAATTCTAGTTATATCTATATCTAACAGACTAACCGTAAGTACAGAAGTATAACAGTGAAGAGTGGTCGTGATTTCGTTGTGCGAAGCTATTGACCAACTTGTAGTCACAGTTTGAAAAGTCGATGACTGCTGTTACAGTCAGCAAGGGTTGAAGGCTACAAATCGACAGCAAAAGTGGCACGATGAAGTCTCTAAAAGATGATAAACGGTGAATGCCGCGTGTTTGTTCGCTTAGTGAACAGAAAAATATCGAAAAGAACATAAGAAACCAAGAGTGTCACTCTGGACTCATGTCAATGATACCCGTGAAAAACGCTGTCAGTGTTGGGATAGAGGCGACAATATCGTTTTCAGTTTGCAGGAGATTCGCTCGACTGCATAAACTGATGATTCGCGCGAATGATATTGTCGTCAGACCACCAATTGAACTGGACAGGTTGTAAATCGTCGAGTAGTTGAACAGCCGATTGATGTACCGGAATCATCTGTTAAGTAACAGCCACGAGGAAACAATACTTCATAAAATGAAGTACGACATCGAAGTAGAACAACTACAATAGTTCAGATGTGTTACAATGTCAAGTCTAAATAACATCGTTCTTACGTATACTGACAGTTGCACTGAACGTCCGTTTAGGTATGATTAGCGTAACAGTTGGATGTGTGAATAAAAACATATACGAAAACTATGGTTGGGTTCGTAGAGAATTTTCGAGGACGTTTAGATATTTTCCAAACCCGTATCGCATGTAAATAAACCGAAAATAGAATTAAAATGACTGTCGTGTAATAAGGAAATCGAGCCATGATTTACCGTGTGAATTATTAGCAAATACAAGGGGTATAATAAACATTAATTAAAATGGTAACCACCAATGTAACTAAGGTTTAGAGGGTCCAGGTAACGTGGCCATTTCGTAAAAGGCTGATACAAAGAGCTTATTACCTAGCGTTAAGTGACATATTAAGTACGACAACGTGTGTACTTGGGACATGGACTAAGCGTGCTCGTGTACATCCAATATGTTTTACCACAGTATGTCGACTAACGAGTCATAAATGTACATGATTTCGACTAAAACTTGACGGCAGTGACAGAATATATGACTGGTTTACGTGAAAACAACTACGAAATGTTATCACGCATCATAAATATAGTGCGAAATAATCTAATGAAATTATGAAACTCGCCTGGGTTACTCTTGCCTCTAAGTAATGAAGATATGAAGTAGGCAGTAGTTTGAATCTGGATTGTGTACGAGGTACTGTTGATTAAATTTTTCGATTAACACAGCATTGTAGACTGAATCGGTATAAGTCCAGAATTAATTTAAGCCGAATACATAGCATTACTCTGACGAACAGTCTAAACGAGATCTAAGATCGCAGGAAATTTATAGTTCAAACTCACCGTGAATTTCTAGCATCCGTATCCTCTGTTTGGCCATGGAACTCAGCAATTGGAAATTAGGCAGGCAGTGGTAAAAAAAAAAAAGCAGAACATTCTAGTGGATAATGGTTAAGCAGAAAGATGAATTTATAGTCGATAGTTAATCTTGTCTTATTTATACCAGTGGATAAGGTACAAAGAGATATGCGTTCGTGTTGCCTTGTGGCTATACTCACGAGTGGTTGATATTTTAACAGACATATTACACAGGAGCATTTACATGCTGCTAATGCTTGTTAAAGAACCACGATAGCCGATTATAATCGTAGCTGATTGGTTAGTTCTGTCGATTGAACTAAGTATTTAAGTTTAAATACTAATCAACATTGACATGAAGCAACGAAAGTTCACAGTAACAGATTAACATAGGCGATGATAAAAATGAAAAAGAATAAGCATAGAGTACAATAATAAAGATTATAGTGATAGGTTGCGTTATTCGAAGTCTTGCTCACCAGTGTAGATCACCCACGTAGATGATCTATGTCGAAATGATTGGAGGCCTACTCCAGTTAGACGTGAATGGTGTGACGAACCAACTAACGTCGAAGTCACACCTCGTGGTCAGCACCTTACGTGGACTACCCCCATCGACGTAACAAGGTACTATAAATGCTTTGAAGACTGTACAACACAAAGGACGTTATTACAGAAATATATTAATTAAAGTAGATACAAAAGAAAGTAAGACCACTGCCGCATGGGCCAGTCCATGGCGTATGATTAACTAATGCGCGTTTGTAGTACATGACCTTGGCAGGGGGCGATGATCTGTTCGACATTCAGTGATCCAACTGCCGGATGATTTGGCTAGGGCTCAGTGATATTTCACTGGCCCTACAACCTTTATGAGCCAGTTTTATGACTACATTAAATGAAATAAAACTTTTGTTGAGAATAATGGTACAAAAAAATGAAATCAGCAATTTAAGATCTGACAGCAATTTAAATGCTACTGATATTCGAAAATCGAGTGTTTAAATAGCTCTAGTCAAGACGCGGGGTAATATATTGATTTGAATGTGTCTCGATGACTAACCAGTATACTGGATTTAAGGTTGAGTTGACGTCATCTCAGCTTGGGAAAATTGTTGGTGTTGTCTCAAATGTTAGCGAAAATAAGATCAGCCTTACCAATGCAGTGATCAACAATTATCCTCCTACTATCCCTTCGTTTGCTGTCGAGTGAGTTCCCCCATTGTTTCATTTCATACTTTTCTATGCACATGTTAGTTTTTTTTATATTGAACTTAGTATTTGCTTTACCCACCAACTTACTATGAGTCTCCCGTGTTTATGATACTGCTATAGGAATTTTTCACGTTTCTACCAATAAACTAGTCTGATCGCCTAAAACACTTCAGATGTTATCTGAAAGTGGTCTTCCTGCGTATTATTGTAACTCCATTTACATAATAGTTAACTTGGAGTCAGAGCTCGTGTCTGAAGGAGCTGGTTTTAAAATGTAAGGTATTTGTAGGCTGTTAATTCACTCCTCACGTTTACAGTAATGTCGTCTCCACTCCATAAGTTTTGCAAAAACCTGCATCTTATTATTTTTCACTAAAATTTGCTTCATTAATCCACTTTTCTTGATGACTTAAAGATAATAGCATTAGGGTGATTCTGATGGTCAGTAGTATGTGACATAGAACGTGGATACAAACACCTATTTGTAAATGAATTCATAGTTTGTCTTACCTAGCAACAGACGCACTGTTTCCATTTCATTATACACTTTCTTGATCAAGCCAAAATTTATGGGCGACCTTTCAGCGACGTTAGATCGAACTTGAAAATGTCCAAATACTTACTAGGGCTCAATAAACGTAAATTTGGGTGAGGAGTTATGATTACGATTTACAGTTGAACGTTGGGTTTAGGAAATACATTAAATGTTTTAATCACAAACTGACATCAGTTATAACGCCAAAAAGCTATTCAGTCGAATTAACTCATGAATTTCGCGCCAAAATCCAAGACTTGCTGACATAGGTCTGATCGGTTCGTCCATAAATTATGGTATCACCAAATAAACAATAAACCACGAAAAAGTACTCTCCAGATGTAGTTTATTGAAAACTCAGAAAATAACTAATCTCAAGCTACCAACTTAGACATAGAATACTGCTCAGATAAATAACATCATTAAGTAATTTAAACTGTTAATTATAAAACAATAATTCAACCAGTCATAGGCAACATATAATCGGACACTTGTGCATCAGTTCAGGTTCTCACACCACATTAACACAGTGAGACAAAATTATTCCAAAACAAGTCCCACAGTAGTAGAAATAGTAGTAACAGTATCAGTGGTGCTACAAAAGACTAGGTAAAGGAAAAAACAGTATAACGAGATCTCAAGATTAAGGTTCTAGGACGGAACAAAGAGACAATACACAGGCATCATTGTGAACAATCCTGACCCATTCCACCTCAATTCTCTAACCACATAAATCGAATGATTTATGTTGCGCATATCTGTTTGGTGCCTCCTTGTACCAATGTTTATGCGTTTGAGTCGTAAATAAATAATATCTAACCATTGGTTACGATGATCACGCGGACAATAACCAGGTGGTTTACACGAATTAATATGGTTCAGTCTAGTTGTCAATGAATTCATGGACTGGCTCTAGGTATGGGTTTGAATGGTCCTAGCTTTCCCCTAACCTATTCTTACACCAGAAGACACTGTCCGTCGAGGTAGCCAGTGCTTGGGCATGTATGACACACTTTTCGTGGTTTTATTCTCTGAGCTCAACAAAACTCCAAAATCATTCACCTGAGATACAAATCTTCACCATCTCATTTATAACACATGTCCAAACTAACTTATTTGATGAAAAGTCATTGCCTCATCAATCTTTTTGTTGCGTTTACCTAGTAGCGTATGTTTAACTTTGGCATTTCTGACTGTGTGATCCCAAATTACACAGGCTATGCTTTTAAGATTCTTAAGATCTCATGGTGTGCATTGGGTAAGCATAGCCACAGAGCTCACAGAACCCAACTCAGACGAAATCTTCAGCTGGATTATAGTGTGAGTTTAAAAAGTGTATGAACTCAGTCACTGACCTCATAGATTGATGCCACTTATAGAATCGTTCATCATTAGCTCTTTTATAACCTCTTGTCCCAACCACCACTGTACGTCATGGTTGTGGTGGTTAGGTGCACTTAATACACACCTTGACCATTTTAGTCGACGGAGACAGCCTCAACTAACTATCCTGGTAACCAACATACACTCTCTATTATCCGCCCCTTTGTTCAATCACACTCGAGTGCCTCAAAGATATGTGGTCAAAAACATGCAGTCTACACATGTCGTCTCTGTCCTTATCATAACTGTATATAAATACAGTACAAACTTACGTACATCTGTTACCCCCCAGTGGAGCATAGGTCACCGACCAGCATTCTCCAACACCCTCTGTTCTGGGTCTTCCTTTCTAGTTCTATCTAATTTTTGTTGATTTTTCTCATGTGTCTCCATTTTCCGGCGTAATGTGTTCTTTGGTATTCCTTTCCTCATTTGGCTTTGAGGGATCCGAGCGAGGGCTTTACTTGTGATGCAGTTGGTTGCTTTCCTCAGTGTGTGTCCTATCCACCTCCAGCACTTCTTCCTCATTTCTTCCTCCACTGGGATCTGATTTGTTCTTTCCCTCAGTAGGTTGTTGCTGTTAGTGTCTGGCCAATGGATTCGAAGTATTTTGCGTAGACAGCTGTTAATAAACACTTGTATATTCTGGATGATGGCTTTCGTAGTTCTCCAGGTTTCAGCCTCATGCAGTAGAACTGTCTAGACATTTGTATTGTAAATCCTGACTTTGGTGTTGGTTGACAGTTGTTTTGAGTTCCAGATGTTCCTCAGTTGTAAATATGCTGCTGTTGTTCCATCGATCCGCGTCTTCACATCTGCATTAGATCCACCGTGTTCATCACTGATGTTGCCCAGATATGTAAAGGTTTTTACATCTTCCAAATCTCCTCCGTCAAGTCATTCGATTGTTGCATGCTGTGTTGAATCGGAGAATCGTTTCCCTTTGTGTGTGTTGAGACCTACTACGGCTGAGGCTGCTGCTACACTGGTCGTATTTTCTTGCATTTGTTGTTGCGTTTGCGATAGAAGAGCCAGATCATCTGCGAAGTCTAGATCGTCCAGCCACATCCTAGCTGTCCACTGTATCCCATGCTCCTCCCGATATGTTGATATCTTCATGATATAGTCAATCACCAGGAGAAACAGAAATGGTGAGAGTAAGCAACCTTGCCTGACACCGGTCTTTACCTCGAACGAAACTGTCAATTGTCCTCCATGCACGATTTTGCATTTTAATCCATCATATGAACTCTGTATGGTATTAACTATCTTCTCAAGCACACTGTGGTGTCGACGAAGCTTCCATAGTGTTGTCCTTTTCAGGCTATCAAATGCTTTCTCGTAGTCAATCAAGTTGATGTACTATTACCATTACTTATACTATTATTATCATCATTTTTATGAGTACATAAGGAACTTAATTGGTACTCATCTCATTTTACTATTTCTTACTTAATTCACATGATTTTATACATTAGACACTCTTCGATCAAACATTTTATACTTATTAAATGCGTTATTGGCTATCGAAACTCAATAACTCAATGAGCAACATACTGTCATTTTAAACGGCAAATACTGTGTTTGCGTCTCTATAGTTATCACACCTGCTGATATCGCCTTTCTTTGGTATCTTGTGCTTCTTTCCAGTCTGTTGGTACTTGTTCTTCATCCCAAATCTTGCTGAAGAGAATGTGGAGTATCCTTGCAGTTACTGCTACATCTGCTTCCATTGCCTCTGCTGGAATGTTGTCTGGTCCCGATGCTTTGCCGCTCTTGATTTGTCTGATGGCCATGCTGATCTCTTCAATTGTTGATGTGCCAACATTGATTGGGAGGTCCGTGGGTGTAGCTTCGATGTTGGATGGGTTCAATAGAGCTGGTCGATTCAAGAGCTCTTTGAAGTGTTCTACTCATCTGTTTCGCTGTTCCCCAATGTTGATGATTACTCTTTGCCTTCCTTGCTTTTCACTGGTCGTTCTGGTTTACGATAATTTCCAGAGAGTTTCTTTGTTGTGTCATACAATTGTCCCATGTTTCCTTCTATTATTTTCTCCACCGTCATCATTAGATCTTCCACGTATTTGCGTTTGTCGGTTCTGATGCTCCTCTTCATTTGCTTGTTTACTTCTGTGTATTCAGCCTGTGCCTTTGCTTCCTCTTCACTTGTTCGGCTGTTATTGATTGCTGCCTTCTTGTTCCTCCTTTCTTGAATATTATCCAGTGTATCAACAGTGATCCATTCCTTGTAATGGTGCTTCTTATGACCCAGAATCTCTTTTATCCCTTTCCAGTTACTCTCTATAGTAGTTGATGCAGATATGGTCGATTTGGTTCTGCGTAGTGTGGTGCGGTGAAGTCCATGTGGTTTTGTATATGCGTTTATGTGGGAATATAGTGCCGCCTATGACCAGTTCATTGAAGGCACATAGGTTTGCAAATCTCTCACTATTTTCACTCCCTTCTCCCAGTCCATGTCGTCTCATGATGTCTGCATATCCAGTATTGTCCATTCCGACCTTGGCATTTAGGTCTCTCATGAGAATGGTCAAGTCCTTTGGTCAGTCAGTCAGTCAGTTAGCTACAACGTAGGACCAGGCACATATATGCATCGGTCCAAGTTGCCATACCTCATTAGCACAACAAGATGGACACCGGATTCATAGAAGTAGTTAATTCAGAGGTGGTAATATATAAAAGAAAGAATGCAAATAAGGATATAGTACAGGAAGAAAGAATTAGTTCGTAGAAAGAAAGATATGAAGCAATTTTAATCTCTTAGTTTAAGGAAAGATAGAGAGTGTATACACCGACGCCATTGTGATCGGTTCTCAGTCATGTCACCACGAGTCTCCAACTATTGGTTACGATAGTCACGCGGACCCCAACCAAGTAGTCTGCATCTACCAATATGGCTCAGATTAGAAGTTAGTGACTTCAAGCACTGATGCCACGTTTTGGTTTGGCCGCCCCTAACTTTCTTCCAACCATCCGGTACACCCGTTAGCGTTGCACGTCGTGGTAGTCGGTGTTCGGGCATACGTAACACGTGGCCTAACCATCTCAGTCGATGAAGAATAACAACCTCATCAACTGATTTACCATCCTTCCCTAATACCCTGGGTCTAACCTCACTATTACTTACCCGGTGATCCCAACAGACGCCGGCAATATTTCTAAGGCATCTGTGGTCAAATACTAGTAGCTTACGAGTGTCTTCTACTCTTAATGACCATGTTTCGCTGTCGTAAATTAAAACAGAACGAACTGCCGCGCAGTATACTCGTCCTTTTATTGATAGACGGATATCTCGCCTTCGCCAAAGGTGACGTAAGTTGGCAAAAGCCAAGCGAGCTTTTCGAATCCGTACTGAGATTTCGTCAGACACCAACCCATTAGGGCTGATCAGACTTCCAAGATAAGTGAAGTTGTCTACGCGTTCGACTACTTCACTCCCTATCCTTAGTTCAGGTGTTAACGCAGACCAGTCCTGATGCAACAACTTGCATTTAGAGGGAGAGAAGCCCATTCCAAACATTCTGGAATTGTTGCTTAGTGCTACCAAAAGGCTCTGCATTTTATCAGCGTCTTCAAACAGAACTATGTCATCTGCGTATTGTAAGTCGATAAATGGACCTCCTGGAAGGAGATCAATACCGGAGAATTCAGTCGACGAGAAGGTTATTTCCATCAGTAGGTCTATGAAGAAGTTAAACCAAAAATGGGGAAAGTGGACAGCCCTGACGGACACCACTTGAGATTGCAAAAGCAGATGACAGTTCGCCATAAGCTCTGACTCGACTGGTACTGTTCGAGTAAAGAGCCTTCACAAGATTTATGTACTTCTGGGGTACGCCTTTCAATGACAGACACTGACACAGAACCTCGCGGTCTACCGAGTCAAATGCTGCTTTTAAGTGAAGAAAGACCACCATTGTCGGACGCCGATAAATATGCCTATGTTCTAGAACCTGACGAATGGTGAATATGTGTTCGATGCAGCCACGACCAGGTCTGAAGCCAGCTGGATTCTCTCGTGTTTGCAGTTCACGTGCCTTAGTTAGGCGTCCAATAATTATCGAGGCTAGTATTTTAGATACTATATTAGTTAAACTAATCCCTCTGTGGTTGTCACAGGATAATTTTACCCCTTTCTTATATATTGGGACAATCAGTGGTTGTGACCAGTCAGATGGGATTACATCCAACTCCCAGATTTTAGCTAAAATATTAGTCAACCTAATCGCTAAAATTGGACCACCATCCTTAAAGACTTCTGGAGCCAATCCATCTAGACCAGCTGCCCTTCCTCGTCTCAGATTAACTATAGCCTTTTGAACTTCTGCTAGAGTTGGGGGACCTACTTCAATGCTCCATTCACACTGTCTGGGAATGGAGGGTAGTTGTAGAGTAGCTGAAGGCCAGATGAACTGTTCTCTGAAATGTTCCGCCCATCGTTCTAAACGTCTGAACTGGGAGCAGATGAGTGTCGTCTTTTTCCGAAATAGTCTGACTTACACTTGACTTATTAATTCCAGTTTCTTTTATTAGTCTGTAGAGCTGTCTTGTGTTCCCTATAGCCACCGCCTTTTCCATCTCTTTTGCTTTCGTTTCTCACCAGTGCTCACGGTAGATCGTACAAGTCCTGTGGTGGGCACTTCTCGACGACTTACTGCAACGTTTTGTAGAATTGATCTTTAGCGTCTTCATTGTAGTCGTTGGTAGGCGCATAGCATTGGATGACGTTCATTGTAATGCCCCATTTCTTTGTTTTGAAGGAGGCTTTGATTATCTTTGTTCCATGAGATTCCCATCGTATAAGTGCATTTTGTGCTTGTTTTGATAGCATCAATACAACTCCTTGTGTATATGGGACGTTTTCTTCATGGCCGGAGTATAACAGAAGTTCCACTGAATCTAGTCGTTTTTGTCCAACCTGCGTCCAATGTGTTTCACTGATTCCAAGCACCCACAGGTTGTATCTCTTCATTTCTGCAGCAATTTGGAAGACTCTCACAGTCCCCCACATTGTACAAGCATTCCATGTACCTAAATTAATGGCTGTCCTGGTTGTCAGAAGGGGCATCAGCCTCGACTTCCGAAGGGACTCGGCTTTCACCAAGAGGCATCATAACTCTTCTAAATGAAGACCTAACTCACAGCGTAGAGTTTAAATGGTTTAAATAATTTTTTTCTGGTCAGCATTTTTTTAGCAAGTTGGTTTTCGACGGGATGGGGACGCTAACCCCCATGCCTGACCCTCCTCCTTTATCCGGGCTTGGGACTGGAAGTAGCCCTAGAGGGGCTCCAGGCGGAGTTACAGTGCAAACTGCGACATAGTATACCTGCCTGTTGTTTCGCCTACATCACAAGTTACCAAATCCAAACTGACTTCATAAATTCACATCCTAGACTAGTTCTGAAGCAACATCTTTGTTCAGGAACACCATAGACTTCATTTTGTCAGTATATTCACCATCTGTGTGCCCCAGGTCAACTAGCGAGTTTCCAGGAAGGAGTTCAATTCCTTAAAGGGTAAACAAAGTATGTTATTTCTAGGAGGATCTGACAAAAACAAATATTGTGAGTAGCCTTGGCGAACACCACTTTAAGTCACTACTTCAGATAGCAGTTTGCTGTAAGCTCTAACTCACTCATTGGTGCTCGTGTGAAGACAAAATCCCTGTACGTGACCATTGAAAGAATACTAGTTGTTGGTTTACGGTGTCAGCAAGCTCGTACGTTTAAGTTATTCCCTAATTTCTTTGATATATCTATACGTTTCATAATAGATGCATTTCTCTAGTCATAAAATTGATACTTATAATTTTAATATGATCATATACTTCATATTCTTAAATAACATACTACTCTCAACGTCCGTTTCCATTATGTTTCATATTTTTAATATACAAATGTACATATTACCAGATGTCAACAATCGTTTATTTTGGTTTTACAGGAGTAGATTCATCCAAAATATTCGCATCCTTTCAACTGCAAGTGACGGTGAATCCTCAGGTAGTGATACACCGGTTAAATGCCCAAATAAGTCCTCTAATTCTTCACGCGAACAACGTCGAGAATGGTTAAGAAACATTCCCAACGCTTGCAGTGTTTATGTATGTCCTGACTCACCGCCTATCATTCATAAGACAGCTGGTGCGCCAGGATCTGGTAGTAACATTAATGATATTAATAACGGTTTTGGACACTCAAACGATTTACAACTGTTAGACAATGCATTGGGGAAAGCTTCCATTCGCGAACCAAATGACTTAAGTCCAGCTCGTAAGTATGGTGTTAATAACCACCGTCATTCCAAACGCCGCAGTTACTCAAGTAAGTCAGGTTTTTGAGATTGATTACCTTCTGCTTTGTCAAAACTGGCAGTTTTTCAAATATGTGATACCTTTTGAAGAATTCACCCCAATATCGAGTCCTGTGGTCATCTGAGTAATGCAAAGTTTAGTTTTCTTAGCGAAATAAGATCAGTTAGAAAACCACTGATCGTTGAAGAGAACTAGTTAGCTATTCTATCTTAATTTGAGACTCCTCAACAGTGCTACCCTCACTACTAGATTGCCTTTAGGTTATTGAGTTGGAATCCAGCGATCTGGATTTCACACACTAGTCAGTTGGGGATACAGAGCGACCGTCATTTAACGTCATCAGTGATAATTTTCTCACTCTTTATGGTTGAACTTCACTGGTCATGTGTTCGATCTCCTCCAGGTTTCTAATAAACCACGAAATGAGACAAAAATTTGTTAAGTAGTACTTCTTGGTTTTCGGTGGTTTCCCAGATGACTTCAGTTCATGATAAAAACTCCACATGCTATGTCAACTAATAATGCTTACAGTTTTCCAAGTCATTTCAATTATTGATACTAAATTTCTAACAATTTGTGCTCCTAGGCCTTTAGCCATACATCTGCTCCGCAAATGAGTAACATTATCAGTCAGTTAGTCATATGCAACATAGAACCTGGCCCATATATACATTGGTTCAAATAGTCATACTCCATTAGTATGATATGAAATTGTCGGAGCGAATCCCAGGGTATTAAAAGTAATATCAGTATGAGAAAAGATTAGGCATCGAAGATACTATTCGACAAGAAAATGTAAATCAGTGAAATAGAAAATTCCAGGTCTAAGGAAAAACACAGTGAATGCACTAGCGCCATTGCAAACTATTCCGACATGTTACCCAAAGTCACTAACTTTTAATTACGATAATTACGCTAATCCCGACCAGGTTGTCTTGATCTGCTTACATGGCGTAGTACATTAGTAATGGTATACATGTTAGTGCCGGGTCCTACGTTGTTGCTAAGAAAAAACATGTTAGTCTTCGGTTGTATTCGTATCGTGCATCATTCTTCAATTCAAAACACTGAAACCATTATTAGCTTAATATCACTGTTTGTCTATAATCACAAAACTAAGACGAAACCCGGTCACAGTAATTTCGTCTGAGCTATTAGGAGGAAATCAATGATTCTATCAAACAGTATGAAATAGCTATCAAAAAATAATGTGCACTATAAATAAATATCTCAGTTTATACAATTATCAAATATTTAAAGGACTATTGCTATTATAATTCAAAATATAGCTCAGTACTTATGTAAAATACCATTATTTTATTATGATTGGTTAATTTCCCACTTTAAAAAAATCTATACCTAGCGTCAGAAACAACTGGCGCGACAAGTGATATATCTGGTGCCGAAAGTGATTCGTTCCATCGTCATACGAATTCAGGATCAAGAGGTCAGTTCAACTGTGGAGGCAGTGGCAGTACTAATCGACATGCTCAAAATCGCGGTCATCCACGTGATAATAACAATAATAATAGTCACAATCATCGGAATGGAGGGAACACTGGACTAAATGGAGGTGGTAGCGGCGGTCAAAGAAATTTAGCAGATTGGGATCGGATCTGTGTTGAAGAATTTATCGATGAAGATTTTGATTTTGAAGGAAACTTAGCCTTATTTAATAAGAGTGCATTCTATGAAATGGTTGATTCACGCGAAGGTCATTCAATAACGAATACTTCTGACATGAATAATTCTTCCGTTTCTTCTTCTCTACCACATTTCATTGAAGGTCCAGATGGTGTTGGAATTCCGCTATTCAGTAAGTGATTCATGTGTTTTGTGGTTATCTTATAAACACAAACATTTGGTGTTGAATAAGTCAATGAAATATTTAAGATTTGAAAAATATTTCTATCAGAATAGGGGTTTGTGAAGATCGTAGTAATCTAATAGTTGAATTCATCGGTCGATTTAAGCTAGACCATCATGGAAAACCTGGAAGCACTGGAAGGCCGTTTCTTCCTAGTATGGGACTCCTCAGCAGTGCTCATCCACGGTCTCGTACCTGGGACTTGAACCCGTAATCTTTTGTCTCATGCGCGAACACTGAACCTCTAGACAACTGAGTTGGCATCCAACGGTATTAATGTCCAACCTCAACCAATCCATGATATTGCACGACTGTCCACCATTGTCTTCAATATGTAACTGCCTCACAACAGGCACGGTTAGACTTACTGGTCGCGGCTTCTCACTAGAACACGCGGGACGAAACGATCATCCAGTGCTTCCAGGTTTTCCATGGTGGTCTAGCTTACATCGACTCATGGTTTCAACTATTAAATATGTATATATTATTCTGTTAGTATTCCTTGGCTACACCTCATATTTTGAGCATCATAGATCGATGGAATAATAGCTTATTAATTTAAAAAAATTAAATTTTCAGTCACTGGATCACAGATTCAAACTCTATTCCCCATTTGCCCTCCACCCTTTAATTCTATACAATTACTCAAGTACATAAATCTGTGACTTGTTAAATAAATCATATACATTAATCATTATATAAATTAGTCCGTTTGGTCATTTATTTTATAAAATAATTATTCATGTTCATTTTTATTATGTTGTAATTTAATCACTGTTTATTTATTTGGCAAAAATTACTTAGCTGACTTAATCAAAGATAAGTGTCACGTTGCTTGTATTCACCATTATCTATTCATTGTTTTTACTTACTTTTTTTACTCTGCTTCTCTGACTGTTTGTTTTTCTCTTAGCTACTCCAACTCAATCATCTAATTTAATAACAACTATGACAGCTTCAACTAGAACAACACTGACTATCACATCCTCTGGTAGTCATTATGAAGATAAGCATAAAATAAACAATACACAAATAACTACTTCTAATAATAAATCTATTAATCAACATAATTCTACTAGTTCAGTAGTAGCTACATCGTCACCATCATCACCACCACTAGCAGCAGCAGTAACAGTTCATTCAGAAGGTAGTAATTTCAATGTTAATGTTAATAATAAACAATATTATATAAATTCTATAAAACAACGTAATAATCAATACTGGTATACATGTACAGGACAACGTGTACCAATATTTCCATTAGAACAACGTCAACGTTTATTTAATTATTTAACTACAGGATTAAATTTAGATACTCAAATAAGTAATAAATTTCATGGTATTACATGGGGTCGATTTATTGAATCTGCTACTCGTCCTCTAATTGATAATATTATGATACATTTACGTCAATTAAATAGAACACCTCAAAGGTAAGAATTGTGTGTTTCTTTTTTTCTACCTTACATTAATAATCATTCCATTTCAAAGTACATCTGTCTAGTGAAATTTATTAATACTAACTGATTGGTTAGTGAGAAATGGTGTTCAAACCTGTCATACAATGGTCGAAAGTTAAATGTTTCAATCACAAAATCACTCTTTCACTTATATTCATTACTACTACATGTACTAACTTTTCTTATATCATGCATGACAAATCAATCTTATATTTTAAAGTACAATAAAACTTAAGATTATTACGAGAATTTCGATACAGATTAGATTCTGTCCCATTATGTACTTTACATTAATTTTCAAGAACTAAGGTGTTATATCCGAACGAAGAATAAAGGATTGATAACTGTTGGAAATTATTATTACATATACTTTTATTGGATAATTATTAAATAACTAAATTATATGTATATTCGCATTTTTGCTATCATAAGCTTTCATTTGACCTATTGACTATCATTAGACGATTTACTATTTTTGAGTTATTCTCAATCTGTTAGTTACACCTCCTCACACTCACAACCACTTTGGACTTGATCTTGTATAATCGTTACTTTTTATTTTATGGTGTGATTAGGTCTGATTTGCTTTTATATAAACTACGTATGTCTGAACTACGTTATTTATACAGTGGGCGTTGAGATTTGTGTTTTGGACTCAACGGGCAAAGCTAGGCGAGGAGAACCAATAAAGACTCCAAGTTGTCTCCAGGTTGCTTTTGCTGTTTTGACGTGTCATTGGTTTAACACAAGGACAAGGTCATATAAGTCATATTATTTAATGGTATTATAGAAAAGAATATTTAATTTTTGTAATCGAGTTTTATAAAAAAGTTTCCCCTGTTCTTCTGTTATTACCTCACCTTTCTCACAGGATTATTCATAGACCTCCGGCTCGCATTCTAATCATATCAAATGGATCTAATCATTTAGGTGCAGTATTGTCGTTGAATATAGCTCGATATTTATCTACACTTGGAGCTTGTGTTCTATTAGTCACTCCATCTATGTATTGTGCTAAAACTAATAATAATAATTCAGTGAATGACACTACTACTGCTACTTCCGAAGATGTTAGTGATGAATATCCTACTGATAATTCCATAATGTCTACTATCTATCGACAGGAATTACACTTACTTATGAATTTAGCACCAAAACCAAATCAGTATGGACTAGATGATCTTGATGATGAAGAAGATGATGAATTAGACCAATACAGTGATGATGGGTGGGGAACAGATAACGAAAATAATCATGATGATAATAAGAATAATAAACAAATACCTGGACTCTTTACATTTAATAATAATGATAATGGGAGTCATACAATTGATGATAATAGTATCAGTATTGGTTCATCTTCTGCGAATATTCGTGAACATAATGATGTTGACTTTGATAATATGAGTTGTCTCAATTATTCCGATATCAGTAGTATTGTCGATCATAGTTCAGTTGGGCGTATATGGATGAGTCGTATGCCTGGACTGAAAATTATACGTCGTCCAAATTGTAAGTAGTATACTTGTACACATTTTTTTCAATCTATTAACAATTTTCTGGGCTGTTGTTGTTTTTGTAATTTAGATAAATACTGACCATTGCAAACTCACTTATAATCGTGGTAATGAAGTCAAGTAAACAGACAGGAATAAATAACATCATTTCTCAGGTATATCATTCTTTGCAGCTAACCATTCCTTAGATTCCTAATATTGATGATAGTAAGTGAATTAGTTGAGTGTGTCAATCACTTCGTTTATTCTGGAATTTTCGTCAACCTTTTTAGGTTAGTGTTTGACGAAATATCGGCAATAATTTCGGAAAACTCACTTGACCTTCCTCAGTGTGTGTCGCTTTTGGTGTAAACGATTTATCCGCCCATCAACTAAGGGCCGTGTATAATACGCGGCAGTTCGTTAGCGCCTGAATTAATGATAGGAAGTGAAGTAGTTGAACACATTAACCGCTTCACTGATCTTGAGAGCCTCATCAGTTCTAATGAGCTGGTTTCAGCACATTTAGAAAGCTCGGTTAGTCTTTGATAACCTGCAGCACTTGTGATATGAGCGAGATATCCGTCTATTCTGTTCTACTAAATTAGTATGAAAAATGACCGTTAAGAATAAAGGGTATTTTTGGATTACTGGTATTCATCCATAGGTATCTTCGAAGTCAGCAATGCCAAAGTTAAACATACGCTACTAGGTAAACGCAACAAAAAAATTGATGAGGCAATGACTTTTCATCAAATAAGTTAGTTTGGACATGTGTTATAAATGAGATGGTGAAGATTTGTAGCTCGGGTGAATGATTTTGGAGTTTTGTTGAGCTCAGAGAATAAAACCACGAAAAGTGTGTTATACATGCCCGACCACTGGCTACCTCGACGGACAGTGTCTTCTGGTGTGTTATAATCTCTTTCTTACGGTTATGATCCAGCTATTCCTATTGCTTAGTATTCTCGGACACCAATTCACTCGACAAGTCCCCAAATCAGAACACGGTTGAACAGGAAAGAGATTATATTCCAAATAAAAAGGTCAGATGGAAGTAAGAAGCACAATAGGGAAAACGTTAGTATATTTATAGTTTTTACATGAGAAGATTCTAGAGTATTCTGGTCATCTCAGCATCAGTCGAGCTGCAAAGCCACTACAACGACCTGACTAAACCATTCAGTCGATAGTAGCGACGGGCGGTGTGTACAAAGGGCAACGACGTAATTAGCGCAAGCTTATGACTTGCACTTACCAGGAATTCCTCGTTCACGGGGAATAATTGCAAGCCCCGATCCTCACCCGCCGGATCACGATTACACTACTCCATAAAGAAGCAATAGAAGTCGTACCCTAAACGAGCACAGAGGACCAGTCTACTATTTAGTAGGTTAAAGTCTCGTTCGTTATCGAAATTAACCAGACAAATCGCTCCACCAACTAAGAACTGCCATGCACCACCGCCCACCGAATCAAGAAAGAGATATCAATCCGTCAATCCTCACAGTGTCCGGGCCGGGTGAGTTTTCCCGTGTTGAGTCGAATTAAACTACAGGCTCTACTCCTAGTGGTGCCCTTCCGTCATTTCCTTTAAGTCTCAGCTTTGCAACCATACTCCCCCTGGAGCCCAAAGACTTAAAGGTTTCCCGGGGACTGCCCGCGATGTCAATTATAAAACCAACGCGGATCGTCAGTTGGCATCGTTTATGGTCACAACTACGACGGTATCTGATCGTCTTCGAAACTCTGACTTTCGCTCCTGATCAATGAAGACATTCTTAGCAAATGCTTTCGCTGTAGTTTGTCTGGCGGCGATCCCAGAATTTCACCTCTAACACCGCCATACAAAGGCCCCCGTCTGTCCCTCTTAACCATTACTTCGGATCCGAAAACCAACAAAATAGAACCGAAGTTCTATTTCATTATTCCATGCAATAATTTTCAGGCGCACAGGCCTGCTTTGAGCACTCAAATTTGTTCAAAGTAAAGATGCCATCCGCTTCGAACACCCGTTTAAAGGCATCCGGAAGCATGCCAACAGGTCAACAAGACGAACTCGTCAACCCACCAGCACCCGTTTAACACAGACAGGGCTGGAAGGCTGCACAGCCACTACACCGAGCCGAACATGTCCTGATTGTAACCAAAACCGTGAACAAGCAGCGGCATGCGACCGCACGACCCAGATCCAACTACAGGCTTTTTAACTGCAGCAACTTTAATATACGCTTTTGGAGCTGAAGTTACCGCGGCTGCTGGCACCAGACTTGCCCTCCAGTTGGTCCTTGTTAAAGGATTTAAATTGTACTCATTCGAATTACGGAGCCTCAATTGAGTCCCTTATCCGTATTTTTCCTCACTACATTCCCGTGCCGGCAGTGGGTAATTTTCGCCCCTGCTGCCGTCCTTGGATGTGATAGCCATTTCTCAGGCTAGGTTAGGGGAAAGCTAGGACCACTCAAACCCATACCTAGAGCCAGTCCATGAATTCATTGACAACTAGACTGAACCATATTAATTCGTGTAAACCACCTGGTTATTGTCCGCGTGATCATCGTAACCAATGGTTAGATATTATTTATTTACGACTCAAACGCATAAACATTGGTACAAGGAGGCACCAAACAGATATGCGCAACATAAATCATTCGATTTATGTGGTTAGAGAATTGAGGTGGAATGGGTCAGAATTGTTCACAATGATGCCTGTGTATTGTCTCTTTGTTCCGTCCTAGAACCTTAATCTTGAGATCTCGTTATACTGTTTTTTCCTTTACCTAGTCTTTTGTAGCACCACTGATACTGTTACTACTATTTCTACTACTGTGGGACTTGTTTTGAAATAATTTTGTCTCACTGTGTAAATGTGGTGTGAGAACCTGAACTGATGCACAAGTGTCCGATTATATGTTGCCTATGACTGGTTGAATTATTGTTTTATAATTAACAGTTTAAATTACTTAATGATGTTATTTATCTGAGCAGTATTCTATGTCTAAGTTGGTAGCTTGAGATTAGTTATTTTCTGAGTTTTCAATAAGCTACATCTGGAAAGTACTTCTTCGTGATATGATACACTTTATTTCTTGTTGATGATCCATCATTACAAACCATACAAATTAGCATAATAATAATAATATTTTAATATCAAGACTCTTCCCTTCTATAACAACATAATTAGAAGAAATTATCTAGAAAAATGTAGAAAATAGTTTTGTTTTCAAAGTATGTTTCTTTCTAACGTTAAACAGATTGTTAATTCATTTACAAACCTAATTGGTTGTTTGTATTTACTTACCTGTCCTTTTAATCCACACTAATAACTAGAACTTTTAAATTTATACATAGTTTTAGAGTTTTAATTAATTACTACAACTTACTTCTCCATAGTTTCATTTCTTTTTTTGTTTTCTTTAAAATCATGTATTAAATTCTATTTGCTTGTTAAGTTTCAAGTAAAAAGAAAACAAGGTGTTAGTTTTTTAAGTCATTAATAAATGTCACAGATGCCTGTGTTCTTTATGATTGTTGTCACAATGTTATTACTCCATTTGTTATATTTATGAAGTGTGTAGGTTTTTATTTCCCTTAGAAATTGCCTTAGAAATATTGCCGGCGTCTGCTGGGATCACCGGGTAAGTAATAGTGAGGTTAGACCCAGGGTATTAGGGAAGGATGGTAAATCAGTTGATGAGGTTGTTAATCTTCATCGATTGAGATGGTTAGGCCACGTGTTACGTATGCCCGAACACCGACTACCACGACGTGCAACGCTAATCGGTGTTCGGGATGGTTGGAAGAAAGTTAGGGGCGGCCAAACCAAAACGTGGCATCAGTGCTTGAAGTCACTAACTTCTAATCTGAGCCATATTGGTAGATGCAGACTACTTGGTTGGGGTCCGCGTGACTATCGTAACCAATGGTTGGAGACTCGTGGTGACATGACTGAGAACCGATCACAATGGCGTTGGTGTATACACTCTCTATCTTTCCTTAAACTAAGAGATTAAAATTGCTTCATATCTTTCTTTCTACGAACTAATTCTTTCTTCCTGTACTATATCCTTATTTGCATTCTTTCTTTTATATATTACCACCTCTGAATTAACTACTTTTATGAATCCGGTGTCCATCTTGTTGTGCTAATGAGGTATGGCAACTTGGACCGATGCATAAATGTGCCTGGTCCTACGTTGTAGCTGACTGACTGATTAATGCCATATCTTGATCTTGCTACTGTTAGTTTTTTTCCCAGCCTGCTGCTATATCATCTGATATCAAATGTTGTAATTGGCGGTGGTTTCAATTATATGTCTTAATTCATGTCCTAACCACCTCAGTCTATGGAAATTTTTGAATTCACCAATAAACTGTATGTATAAAGACTAACAGTCTTACAGTTGATATTTCCTTGCTAACAATAATGTCAAGTGTATACACCAATATTTTAGTATTCCATATTGCCTTCCTAGCTACCGATTTGCAACTATCACTTCATTCTTTTGCTCATTCAGTCTATTTACTTAATACGATATCCAAAGATTAGGCCGAACATTCAAGTCTTAATTGGTTAGAGAACGGATGACCTATAAACTAGTTCCCTCCAATCGCCTATGACATGTTAACTTCGTGTTTTTATTCTGTATATATAAGCATGTTACTGCATGGAAAACAATTCATCTGTCTAGTTGTCCTTAATTTCTAATCATTCAGAGGGCCTCAGTCGATAATACGGTCCCATAAGTAGGTATCACACGTCCACACATCATACCATTGCATTCATCTATCCACTAGCATTCTATTCATCGACTTTAACTTGAACAACACTTTAATGCATTCTATTTGACTTTATATTAATGTTGATTTTTGTTATCTCCAGAGGTTAATTGATCTCTTCACTTTAGTACTTGTTCCCTCTTTTTTAATCTTCTACAGCTGTTACCAAACTGCCAAGTAGTATACGCATTGACCTAGTGATAATTGGTCATTCAGATGACAGTAATACTGTAAATAAAGACAACTCATCATTATCATCAAATACAAATTTATTGTTTAATTGGTTGCGCAATCACAATTCCATTGGTGGCATTATTCATTTAACACCTTCCCAGTCCATTGTTGATTCTAATATTCTGTTAAGAAATGCTCAACACTTTGTTTGGGTGACTGAATTGGGCTTACCAATACTGACACCACAAGGTCATTTAACGTCATCATCTTCAACAACAACGCCTACAGTGTCTATCCCTCCAACTGAAGCCACATTGAATAGTAGTGGTACATCAACCAATACAACCACTTCATTAACTCACTTGTTAATTGATGTTGGACTTGGTCGAAATATTGTCCGGAAATTAACTGGTGATTTAAATCTCCTACCACCATATGGTCTATTCGATCTGGGTTCCATGATTCCTTTACGACCAGAACAACTGAACTCAGTACAGCAACAACAACAAATATCACGATAATCTCTTTGATTTAAACGTTGTGTGGGCACAAATCGTTCACATTTTGTAATTAATTTTCATGAAAGAAGATCTAGTTGACTTTTTGTTTTTTATTCTGCCTCGATATTTTGTATATAACAGTTGAAATGTTTCTATCATTTACTTGATCACATAGTCTTTTAATTTCTTCTCCACTCTAGTTGTTCTGTTTTCTAATTGAGAATATATACACTAGGATAGCCTAGTGTATTTTGATTTCGTTTCAATGTATGTTTTTGACTTCGTTGTCATGTTTTTTATTGTATTCATCTACAGTTTCCTTGTTATCTCACTTAATAGTCTATGTGATTTGTTCTTTCTTGTTCAGTAAGTCATAGATAGCATGACGTTATTCTGTGGAAATATAAAAAATGATTAGTTATGTATTACCTGTGTTCTTTCAGTAAAATTAGCAGAGATATAACTTGATTATTATCTGTTCCTATTACATTATGTGTTAGTCGATAGTTTAGTGATTCAACAATCATCTTCAATCTCCAATCATTCTGGTATGATTTACGATAACAGCGACACTTTCTCTCTTAGGCCTGATGAATCTATAACACTGATCCTATAAGAAAAATTTACTTGTTAAAAGCCTCAGAATATTCTTTGAAATTTCCGTCCATTTAATTATATGCCTATTGCATTCAATGATTAATGCTAACAGTTTCGTTTGCGCCAAATAATGAATTATTGTTTGTAAACAGTGAGGAAATTGCAACTAACTGACTCATCTGCAAACTTCCTTAAATTATAATACGGTAGCTTTGAATGAAAAATCATGGCATTAATCAATCCATCTATTCGGGAAACTTGGCTATACTGGAGCAATCTGTGTATATCTCACAAGTGATTAAAATCTGTCTGGACCCAGAAACTCAGTAAAAAAAACGTGTGAAGCGAAAGGTGCTTGTTTCAAATTTCAATGTGAACATCAACACGCATCCCGATATATCCAGTTGACGAGTTCCACGTAGGATGATGTGTGTATCCCGGACTCCATTGGTAGTCACAATTCATTCATTCTAGAGAATTAATGTTTCAGCTAAAGTACCCTTCCCAATGGGGTTGATTTAGTGTAATTTGTTCAGTACATTATCCGACTCATACATATCGTATCCGCCACACTATCTGGTTATTAAAACCGATGTTTAGACCTATCTCCTAATGAGGAGAGATCAACCGCTGAGTAATCATTCCATTTTGTTAGAGCACTCACCAGCTTACATTTCCTTAATCGATAGCTTAGGGGAAGATGCACCAGACGAGGTCCTGATTTATTATTCTCAAGTCCCTTTATTGAATAATTACTTGACTGAACCACTAAAACACCTAGGTTAGCATGATCGACACTGAGAGCTTACGAGGTAGTCTTGACTTTCAACTGGTTCACTGACATAGGTTCCTTCTACTCCCCCAGCATTGAGTTCGTATAGAAGAAGATTTTACTACTACACACCTATTTTTTTTATCTTAAACACTAGTTTATAAAAATGAGTTATCTTTGTGGCCCACTGATCGGACACCGATTTGGATGAACGCATAAATACGCTATCATCATAAATCTTCTACTTAACTCCTTACATTACACCTAGTCTAACCATTTTGCTCGACAGTGGTAATAGGAAGCCAAATATGGGTTAAGTTGGATGAATTTATTTCAGACAGACATTAGAAATAAGAAGCAGAGAGGGGAAGAATACCAAGTCTATTTGATTAAGCGTGTCTCAATATTTATAGCCAAACAAAAATAAACTCAAGACGTGATGAATAGAGTAAGCGATGGGCACATACTCATAAAAACAGTCAAGGTTACAAGCAGATAATGTGGCTCAAGAAGAATAAACCAGTCTGTCCGGGTTTGACACTATATTATCAGCCTGCAACGCATCCCGAATAAGAGATTATATTTTTTATACAATCATCCCCTAAATTACAGAGAAGTGAAGAAATGGTAATTAATGAAACTCATAAGGTTGGTTACATATGTGCTCTGGGGATAAGAACGTATATATTAATTACATATACACCATAGATATCCATATCTGAGAGAAATACAACTAATTGGCGTCTAGAAAGCCCAGTTCTGTATCCCATTACTCTTAATTATTTATTCGACCTAAGAAAACTGACTTATTTGCAAATGAACCACATCTGAATTGTCACCTAAACTTATGTTGAATAACCATACTACTATAAAGTAGTATATCTACATTGACAAAATTCCTAGATTAGCTCCTACACTGTTTGTCATGCCAAATTCCAAAAAAAACAACTGAAAATTCATTGTATCATTTCTTATCCATATTTTTCATGTAATTAATTTCCACTTTAAACAGTAACCTAAAAATTCTTGTATGGAATTCTATTTTTGCTTGGTGAATATCAAGAAATTAAGGTAGTTGCATTTGTTCATATGTAGAAAATGACTGGAAAATGAACTTAATAAGCCATAAAAATTTTGTTTTTTCATAATTATATTAGTATAAATCAAAATTCGAATAAATAGTTATGTGATCCAAGTCCATATTGAATAGTAAAAGAATCTAACTCAGAGTTAGGGTCGTGAACTTAACGAACTAATAAACAATCATACTAGAAGCTTCTTTGTGTACTTTACCGAAAGAACAATGAGAAGCCATTAATAATGATCTGAAGAAAAATGACGGAATGGTCTTCTTAAAATATGAACAAGGTTCCAGTTTTGTTGTTTTGTATAAAAATGAATACCTCTCGAAAATTCGACAATTACCAAATGACAGCAAACTGAATGGAGATTAGTCAACTTTTAAATCAGCTCCCAAAGTAGAAATAGCAGATGAATCGACCTGTGGTTATTTAAAACTATGAGATTCTTGTGTACCGAGGTTGTATGATCTACCCAGAACTCTTAAAACTGCTATACCTCTACGACGAGTCCTAGCCATGAGTAATACAAAGTACCATAAAGCTTGCTCGATGGCTTGCCCAGTTGATTGGATCTATAAGAAAATAAATGTCTGTATACAGTCTGAAAGACAGTTTTGACTTTGAATTGTTAGCATTAACTTAAGAGGAAAGTATGCGATTACATTTGGTGTGAAGACCTTATTTACTTAAGTCTCACTAGAAGACTATTGATATAACAGATGTAATTTTAACTAAATATAAAGCATTTTCAATAAACAGATGTTACAATAAGCAGTCCACCAAGTTCTATAATCGTTGACATTTTTCTGGTACAACTGGAAAACATCAAACTAAATGTTGAAAAAAAACCACATTACAGGAGAAACTATAACCCCGTTATCTGATTACACTATGATGGAATTACGATGTTAACGAAATATATATCCTGTTTAGCCTCATACTTATGCATTAACTTAATTTTCATTACTGAATAACCGTATAAAACAAGTCGAATTCATGAATGACAGATGATAAGAGGAATGAAGCAGAACAGATAAAGTAAATGTTTCAAGTCATTTAAATAAAGCCTGATTTATTACTTATAATCAGATAGAAAAACAAGCTAAAGTTATGTGACGAAGCAATAAACACATATCCGCTTATACGTTTATATAAAAGTGTTAGGGACGTTAGATCCCCAGAACTTACTTGGGAAGGGACCTAATTTTGTGATTTTATTTAGAAAATCTGAATTTCTTTGTTTTCGCGCCAAAGCCGCTCTTGTCACCTTCATGTCGTATTTCCCACTGGGAAATACCTTAAATTCTATTGGTCCGTTGTGTCTTTCAGTATGTTATTTGGTGATTCTCCCCAAGGACGGGTTTGCACTGTATATATACGTTTGAATCGTGGTTGTTGTTACCGCTCGTTTCTAGCTGTTTTGCAGAATATACTTCCCATTCCAAGTTTGGACTTCTCTCTCTAGTCAGCGGGGCTGGGACGCGTCAATAGCTAGCTTACTGGTGTTTGGTCACCGAGTCTTGCTTCTCGGTCGCATATTAAGTGAACTGGTGATAGCTTCAAACCTAACGAAAAGCAACCAATATCATAAAAAGAATACCAAGGTCATCTATATATGTGTGTGGATTATGACATAAAAAGAATAAATTAATTGATCTGGCAAAAAAACTAGAATAATCTATGAAGGTATAAAGTAGTTACTAACTGTGACAAAACATTTCAAATGTGCGAATTGAATATAGTAATTCACAAAAAGAGAGATTTCATCGGTATTGTGTTATCTGATTGAATTGAATCATTCTGTAATGAATGAATGACAACTTATTCGGTTGACATTTAACCTTAAATGTATGAATTATTTTCATGATCAAATGGTAGATTGGATGTTGATTCTTATTTAAGTTTTATACTTTTATCTTCTCCTTGTCTGATGTTTTGTGTATTGTATTATAATACATATAGAATTTCGTAACTTCTTATCATTATCAATCATTTTCGAACTAATAGTTGAGAACATCCCTTCGTTTATCATTTGTGATATATCCAATGAATCTGTGACATGTACTCTACTCTATTTATTATTTTAATTGTATCCCCTTGAAATTCTTAATGGTTTGTCATATTTTGCATATTTAGTTCTTATTTCGATCTGTTAAGTTTCATTATTGTTACTTTGTTTATTGAAACACATCCTTGTCCATCATACATTGATCCATGTAAAAGCTTAAAACACTGTATGAACTGCAGTTTGTAAAATGAACTACTTATATTGTCATGAATAATGGGTTAATTTTATCGACAAATCCTTTGCTGTAATTTTGTATTTTCCACGTGACTCAATTGATTGGTCTGAATCTCAGAGATAATGCAACTTCTAGTCCATTTCAATTTATTAATTAATCTATAAATATCAAGTTCATCTCATGGCTCGGTTCAAGAGTTCAACATTTTCCCAATTATAACTCATAATCGAAATTTGACAATATGAATTTAGTGAAATTGTAATAAATCAATTCTTCTGATAATAGTGTCTAGAAGAACAATGCTGTTATGTTCGTTAAACTTGAATGCTACTACTGATTTGTCTTACGCGGAACGGAACGAAGAATCAAGGATTTAGAGACTCGATAGGCTATACTGGTCCGTTGACCCAGACTCAGCTAACTCGATCCAGAAGTCTTGGTAAGATGTAGAAAGTGTATTCTACAGACAACCAGAAGATACCAGGTCCATCAAGCACACAAATCAAGCGTATTTATACAATATATATATAATCGATATTGCCATGGAAGTTTTTAAACATTTAATCGATAAGTTCGTCAATCGACTATGTGCGTGGGTGGTAAGAAATGCCCAAGCATATATCTGCATACAAGCTCCACAAAGATAAAATTATAAAATCTGAGTTTTGGGGATCTAACGTCCCCAACAAATGCACATTTCATAAATAAACCACCTTGTTTAGTAAATGAAAC